AGATAGAATCACTGATTCCGATGTTCTGTTGTGTTTTTCTACTATGGATTCAATCGGCTCTTCAACCAGTATGCGGGTCCCATTTTGGCAGTCTGTGCTTGTTTTAAATGGGAATTTTGCTGCAAGAGACATGAACGCCGAACTGCAGACATTGAAAATCAACAAGATTATTAATTTATTTATTACTTTTAAGGTAATTAGAGTCTGTTTCTTTTTGACTTGATGAATTAAGCGAAAAACATGCCTTAATGTATTAAGACACTAACCCTTTATGGCTTTATCTATCTACCTTTTATTTTCTCTTAATTTATCTAACGTTGTATTCGATAAATATTGTGAAGTTTGTTTTTGAGTATACCTTGAAAGATGATCTGAAACATTTTGTGTTAGGAACACACCAATTACTGAGTCAACCACAGATCCTTTCCATCGCGAGAATCGTCTATCCCCTGAAAGTTATACAAAGCAGTTAGGCGGTTACAAAGCGGTTAGGCAGTTACAAAGCGGTTGGGCAGTTACAGATCTTGGCCATCAGATTAATTTCATCCAAGGGCTGAGATTGAGTTTTCTAATAAACTTGATCCTATAGTGTTTTTTACATGTTTATACTACATAAAGATAAAGATATGTTTTTTTTTACCTTGAACAAGATGCATACGGGCAATAAAGGAGTCTGCTCTACCACGAAACACTCGCCTTTCATTTTCCCACCATTTTTCTTTATCTTTATCCATAGTCTCATTGGCCTCACTCCCTTCTTTACCCATCAAAAGTCTCCAAAGTCTATCCGACTCTGGATCAAGATCCACCTTTGGTCGTGGCTTTCTCTTCTTAATAGGCTCAAATGGAACAATGACATTACTACCCCTGAATGGAACAATTGCATTCCGCATTTTCTCATTCTCGTCATATATACAAAGTCCTTCTAACATACCCGTTACATCCTCAACCGAAACCACAACTGAAACCTTCGGTTTTCTCCCGCCTGCACGAATAATAACAAATTTTGTTTAACTTTTTAATCATTAGTTTTTTATTTAAACTTTTTTAAAAAGTCGTTTACCTTTTGGCTTTGTTGATTGCTGATGAACTTCCAAATTTGACCTTTGAATTTGATTGGACGATTTTGGTGTTGTGTTCTTTTTATCTATCATAGTACCAGGGTAAGTTACAACTCCGGATCTAAGGGGATCTTTCGGTGGAGTAGCAGGCGGTCGATTCCAGCTAACCATTGCGGTTACAGGATTAACTCTACCCTCCTGAATCGATCTTTGAGTTATTCCAGAAGCTTCCGGATGCTTCTGTAAATTTTGCGTAACAGCCGCCACGGATGGCCGGAAATGGCCACCGGTAAGATTCCCACCACCACCATTCATCGTGTGATAAGGCGGGTTGACTACTCTTTGACTGCAAGAATTTAGTAACTGCAAAGCCGGGACACTTGGATAAGCTCTTGAGTTATCTTCAGGGGCGAAACCGTCATTTTGTGTCTTGGTTTTCTTATGGCTTTCCAAGTAATTAATACTAGCTAAATCTTGACCACGGTCAACACGAACATCACCCCCTAACAATAGTTTCTGGTACATTACAAGAGAATCCATTGCATTTAGAATACGAGGATTTACTTGCTCAAAAAACTGTCTTTTTATCCCTCTTCTTTCATCCAAGTTGACCGTTTGACCCACCTGGTTATTATATCCATTCTTCATTGTCAAATTTCTTGCAAGAACATTCAAAGCATGGTCTCTTGCTTTAGCCATATGAATAGCAGGATCATTAACATTGTTTTGTGCTACTTTCATTGCTGATCTCTCGAGTACATTGTTAATCCCTCTTTCTTGTTCTATATCCTGTGGATTCACATTCAAATTAATACCACCACCGTGTTCTCCCTCTCTCATTTGACTTTCCTCCAAGTCAAAATTCAATTTTTTCTTGACCGATTTGACCGGGGTCTTGACAACGGGCCCCGTAACTTCTTCCACATCGGTTTTTTTACTCTCAACTCCTTTCTTCCTCACATACTTTCTTTTAACACGGACCTCATTTCCTTGTGGACTTTCCAAAACATCCACATCTTTTTTCCTCACATACTTCCTTTTAACCGGGGTCTCTGTGGGATCTTTGGGTGTTTTAGTCTTTTTAGGCTTCGCTTCTCTAATGACCTTCGGGCGGTGCTTTTTCCGCCTTGCTGGCGTCTTTTGGTTGGGTGTTTTGTTTAAGTCGATACCCAATTCGCCCCCTTCCTCGAAAAGTAATGGATCTTTTTGTGTTGTTGAAACCGCAGATGATGTGGATTCCACAATGTTATGTAACAGCTCGCTATCATGGTTATCTGTGTTTTCATTTCTTTGACTTTGACTTCGACTCTGACTTTGACTTTGACTTTCTCGCGTAGTGTTCACGGGTACCCATTGATTTTCAATTTGTTTTCTCCCGGTATCTGGAGTAATTGGAGCAAATGGAAGCGGGCCCGTGACACCAGAGGCGGCATCTAGTTCTGATCTTGGTGGTGAGTTTAGGTTGTAAGAGGCCCTGTAAGGGACTGGAAATCCATCTGTTGAAAAAATCGTTTAATGCAAAAAATAGCAATGTACTTTCAATATTTATTTATTTATTTAATTATTGTTGAGTAATATACTGGTTACAATAATATGTAACCTGCTGGCTGATTTAAATTATGATGACCTGACATTTTTATTCATTTAATTAATAAAATACTAAAAAATTGAGAAAATAGAAGGATAGATCACCTGAATGCAATTGCTTTGAGTTGTAACCATTGATCATGTCCAAATTAAATGTAGGGGATTGCTGATTTTTGAGCAGAAAGTTACTTTGAACGTGAGTAGTTGAATCTGAAACGGGAATTATATTCAGATCATGAACACCATTGTTTTGTGGTGTGTTTATAAACGGAATATTTTCCGAGCTTTTCTTGGGTCTCACTATAGCTGACAAAAGATTATTGTCCCAATTCCGGTCTTCGTAAGGGAAGTATGAGACTGGATTGGAATCATGGTTTTGGTTTGGGTTTGGAATCGGGGTTGAATTTAGAATTGGGATCATGTTCCTTTGTTCAACACGGATTTGAGTTTGATTTCCATTGTTTTGAATCGGATAAATTTCTTGAGCAACTTCATTCAAATTTAGTGTTTCTTCTCGCAATAAATCTTTGTACATTCCAACCAAATCCCTCCAATTCTCATTTTGTTCAATTTGATTTGTGGGTTTGTTGACAGTAATCAAATTTGATCTTTGAGAGATCGGTTTCCCTGGAGTCACCGGAGTCCAAGAACTTCCACCGGGTATAACCGGATTCCAATTCTGCCCATTTGTCACAATGCCGTTCTTTTGATGGATAGTTGGCAACAAATCCCTATGACCCATAATCCCATTTCCCCTTGGAATCGTCATCCATGATTCCGATTCCTTACCACAAATAACCTCATCATCCACAGGATTTACGATTCCGTGAGTCTCACCTAAGCCACCAACCCCTGGAATCGGTCCTCCAAGCATGGCTGCAGTCCAAGAGCCCCTACGAGGCCCAATTCCGTTTTCCGGTGGAATTCCTGTTGCCGGAGTCCATGAATTACTTTTTTCATAATGAGGGAGTGGAGAACCTCTCCCATAGTTCATGCCTGATCTCACACGATCACTGAAAAATTTGGCAACTTTAACTCGTTTCTGCCTGTATAAACCCTAAGTGAAGAATTATTGAGACCTGACGAGAAGTGTGGATTCCGATTCCAATTGAAGAACCCTAATTCTCATTCCTTGCTAACCTGCTAAAAAACCCCAAATGCATTTTCTCACAGAAATGATCCTTCACCTAACATGTACAATTGAATAACAACAATTACAGATAGTCATGGTTAATAGTCATGAGAATCAAAACAGAAATAGCATGCAAGCAATTAATGCCAACAAAAACTGATAAAATTAATTTATGAAAATCCCAGGTAGCTTTGCTTATCAGCAAATAATTTTCCATAAAAAATCCAAGAAAAAACATGAGAGAGAAAGAAGATGTAAGTCAATCGAAACAACCAAATCGAAAACAGCATAATTGGTAAATCTGAGTAAATTTAGAGGATTTAATTCCAAATATTGTAAAATGGGGGTTTCAATTTTGATTACAGAAATCGGATTAAAACCCCACAAAATCCGAGTAGAATCCCGTTGGTGGAAAATGTGAATCACACCTACTTCTTTGGGGTTTTCGTTGCAAAAAACATTAAATTGAGAGAAAAAAATGCAACGTATCAGAAAGAATCGGTAAAATCATGTATCAGGTGAAGCTCAGCTCACCGATCTCTGGCTCCGCCATCTCCGGTGGTGTAATTCGCCGGAGAACAAGTCAATGTCCGAGAGCCAAGTCAGCCTTTCCTCTTTCTCTCTCTTTATTTATTTTTTGTTTAACCAAACAAGAGAGTGCTCACAAGATAAACAGTGCATATATATATATATATATATATATATATATATATATATATATATATATATATATATATATATATATATATATATAATAAAAAAAAATATATTAAATTTAATGTATAAGAAACACAGTGGGCAAGTCTTGCTGTTCATAGGGGCATACTCTTCATGGTCCATAAGTTAAAGAGTGAATTACTTTACTACCCTTAATCGAACTTACTACGTTTTTATTGCTAAAACAGACAGAATGTTACTGTATTTACCCGTGTATTAATGATTATAATGAGCAAATCTCTATTTACAGAATCATATTAAATACTATATATTTTAGTTTATTTAAATCTGGACGAAATTATTTTGCATAAATTGTTAGTAATTGTTGGAATGTGACATTTTTGTCATTGATTATTTTATCTTTCATGTTGCTTTTGGCCATCCATGTTAACTTAATTTAGGTTGGCAAATTTGGTGCGGTTGATACGACTAAAAGATATGGGATTGGTAAATAGTGTTTATCACATTATATAAGTAGAAATAAATTATTACAAAGCCGGTAAATCTCGTTTATTACAGGATAAAAATTACTATTTAATCTCTACGTAGGTGTTATGTGTAGAATGAGTTTGTCGTAGGCGATTATTATTATTATTATTATTTTAATTTTTTTATTTTTTTGTATATAAGCTAAATCCCGTAAAATCGGTGAGAATAAATAAAAGTTGTTAGGAGTTTTCCATTGATGTCATAGATGCCGTGCTTTGAAAACTGCGGATTGAAAACCGCAGATGATGAAAATAAAGTAAATGAAACTAACTAGAAAGCGGTGTGTATCATTCATCTCAACCTAGTTGCTAAAAATCATACCCATAATTTACAAGACTCATGATATTGTGCGACCATCGATATCTTATCTTAAAATAATTGAAATACACATAGAACTTAAAGTCTTAAAGTTATTGTATACATGTTGCATTTACGTTTGCGTACTGACACAAATTACCATTGTATAGAAAATTTAAAATCGATGTACTAAAGTTTTTTTAAGTCCTTTAAGTTGTATGTATTTAACACTGAACAGTTACCATTGGCTATTATAAGAAAATACAATAAGTTTATTTTTTGCCCTAGCACTTGAACCAAAAAACAAAACTCAATGCAAATGTTTGCGTTATTTAACAAATTTTACCATCTCAAAGAAATTTGCATATTGTGGAGTACGTGTTCAAAGGTTAGTTTGGTCATTTTCGTTCATGGTTAGCCCCAACAAAGAGTTGTAAATACACATGCTTGACTGTTTAGGCAACACTCATGCTTGAAAACTTTAGATGTCTACTTATATTTGTTTCGTAGTTAAAACAAACAAACTTTCAAAAGTACAAATTTTGCTAGATCCTTTAGACTTTACTTATAATTTAAATACCAATAAAAACCCAATGTTGAATAATTTCCACATAGACCCTTTAATATTGTAAAAATAGAGATCACATGATACATTACAATTTGCAAAGTCATTCCATAATCAAAACAGCAGGAGATTATTTTGTAATGATGATTTTAAAGGCACATCTTTACTTTTAGGGAAAAAAAAAGTTTCAAAAGGAAACTGTAAACACCACATTTTAGAAGGGATTTACTGATTTAGCGCAAGTCACCTTTATGCAAGGGGTAATTTATGTAGTTAATGCAATAACTGAAGGGTTTAAAGAAATATTCTCGCTAAAACGTGAGATAGAAAAAAACAGGTAAAGGCATTATTGTCATTTCAAAGGTCTTCGCCCCAAAATAAGGTTCTTCGACTTCTTTAGAGATTCCATCTCGGGACGGATGGCGAAAAAACAGAGGGTGGGGTATATTTTATTTATCGGTGATAGTAGTTTTATGCATAGAAGTGCACATTTTAACTGACCTTTTAATTAACTTGTTTTTTTTTTTATTGCTTTTATTACGTTTTTATTTTTAAATAAATATATACATATATAATATATAATAAAACAAAATTGGGCCTCAAAAAATCAAACCATCTACAGTTGTCCGTTTTGCTCTCTCTTAATACCTCCCATGATCTCCATGTATGCAAAGAAAAAACACTTCTAATGGCTACATGAAGATGTCTTTCAAAGAAAAAACACTTTTTTATATGTGCATTTTTTTAAAAATATTAATTTGCTTTTGTAAAACGATAGTAGTGTATGTGTTTTGGTTGAAAAATCAATAAGAAAAAAAGTTATTTAGTTTTATCTATTATTTGAGTTCTTTATTGACGCCTTTACATATAGAATCAAGTTCAAGAGAAAGCAAAATATATGGCTTACATAAAAACACAAAATAATTTTTCGTTTTATTGATTTAAAAGCTTAAATATTTTATGTAATGAATTTTATCATTATGCTTAGTTGATCACTAAAATAGGTTTTTTTGTAATTCGATTTTAAAGTTTAATCCCTTACATTATTATATATATTACTTTAGACATTAATTATTATATAAAACATAAAAACGTTATTGTCAAAATCATTATTAATGGAAAAACATTATTTTGAAAAGAGTTTTGGAGAAAAAAATGACAATCAACGAAAATAATAAAAATCAACTGTTTTACACGTGGGAACCAACCACTTTTTTCTCAATAAAAGTAGTATTGAAAGCTTCGAGATTTATTTAAAAATAATGCAACGGTAACAAAAATCTGCTCAACAAAAAGATACATACGTAGATTTTTAAGGTTGAAAATGGGCCGCCATTTTTAAGATACATTTTTTTTCCGGAGAAATTATAGGTGCGTTTGTTTGTGGAAAATTTTTCAGTTTTTTAGGAAAATTTTCCGAGAAAAACGGAAATTTTAAAAACGCGTTTGGTTCGTTCAATTTTCCAAAGTTTTCTAAGAAAATGAAAATTTTCAGTTTTCCAAATTCTATGTAATTAGAAAAGTGATTTTTACAGTTTTACAAAGTTTTCCAAATTTCTAAGATGGAAAATGAAAATTCCATCCGTTTCAACCAAACACGTTTTCATTGAAAATTGAAAATGGAAACTCAACCCTATTTTATGAAAACATTTTTATAGAAAATGAAAACAATTTTCCACAACCAAACGCACCCTAAGGGTGTGTTTGGTTGTGGAAAATTTTTCAAGAAAAACGGAAATTTTAAAAACGCGTTTGGTTCGTTTAGTTTTCCAAAATTTTCCAAGAAAATGAAAATTTTCAGTTTTTCAAATTGTATGTAAATTAGAAAAGTGATTTTTACAGTTTTTCAAAGTTTTCCAAATTTCTAAGATGGAAAATGAAAACTCCCCCAGTTTCAACCAAACGCGTTTTCTAAAATTTTCAATAAAAATTGAAAGCGCAAACTCAACTCTATTTTCTGAAAACATTTTCTTAGAAAATGAAAACAGTTTTCCACAACCAAACGCACCAGAAAAATGGGTTGTTTTCTGGAAATATTTCCAAGAAAAATGAGAATTTTGAAAACGCTTTTAGTTCGTCTATTTTTCTAAATTTTTCACGGAAAATGAAAATTTTCTGTTTTCTAAAAGTACAAAGAAGTTGGAAATTTTTGGAAAACTAAGGTTGCGTTTAGTTATGGAAAAACAGTTTTTATTTTTCATTTTTTGTTTTCCCTTTTCGATTTTCGTTTTCCATTTTCATTTTTCATTGAAAAATTTAGAAAATGTGTTTAGTTAAACTTATTCATTTTTCATTTTCAGTTTTAGAAAATTAGAAAACGTGTTTAGATGTGTATTTTTCTATCGGTTTTCATTTTTAAAAAACGGTAGCGGTGGTAAGGTGTGGGTGGGGGCGGTGATGGTAGTGGGTCGGCGGTGGTAGTGGTGATGACAGACGATGGTGGTGGCGGCGGCAATTGTGTCAGTGGTGGTGATGACAGGCGGCAACGGTGGTGGTGGTGCTAGTGATGGGTTAGTGGTGGTGGTGGTGGTGATGGTAAGTCGGTGATTGTCGTGATGGTGTTGGGTGGTTGGGGGTGTGAGTGTGTGTTTGTGGGTGAGTATGTATGTGTGTGTGTGGGTTGGTGTGTGTGTGTGTATGGGTGGGTATGTATGTGTGTGTGTTTGTGGGTTGGTGTATGTGTGTGTGTGTGGGTGTGTGTGTGTGTTTATGGGTGTGTGTGTGTGGATGAGTATGTATGTGTATGTGTGTGTTTATGGGTGGGTGGGTGTGTGGGGAGAGGTTGGTGTGTGTGTGTGTGGGGGGGGGGGGTGGGTGTGTGTGTGTGTGTGAGTGGGTATGTATGTGTATGTGTGTGGGTTGGTGTGTGTGTGTGTGCGGGTTGGGGTGTGTGTGTGTGTGTGGGTATGTATGTATGTGTGTGTGTGTT